TATTAACAATTTAACTGTTAAGCAAAGTCTAATTACTGATATTACTTATCATGACTAGTACTGTTCAGTACTTAGCTTTCTGGTGCACTGGCAGTGTTAGCTTATATTTAAATGTACGGCAGCAGCTAACAATTACTTTCATTAGTAATTATTACCTGAATTTAAATTTTTTTTTCTCTTGTGTGTTTTTGCACTCTCTAAGTACCCTTTTAGTTTTGTTGATTGACTTTGCATATTTGGATTTTGTTTATATCTTCATAAATGTCAGAAAATTGTGGAAATGTCCATAATTTGCAGGTTTTCCCAAGGTGGCATCTTCGATTTGCTTTGGACCAGCACTATAAAACTCATAGTCAGTTTACATTGATATAAAACAAACCTTCAAATGGATTATTGAAACTGTTGATTTCTCTAATTGCTTTTCTTATTGATTAATCAACTTATTGTTTCAGCTTCATTTGAATGCTCTTCAGTGCAAATGGGAGCAAAACCAAGCAAAGCGTGAACAAAAATAGTCCTTAAATTCTTATAGAGATATCCATTTGGTTTATGACAAGACATTTTCAAACACACACAAATATAACATAGGTAGGTGTGTCTGTAAATTCTTAATGAAGGAGCATAATGGGCAGAGAAGAAGAATGAGAAACATCCGGTGCACTAATGAAATACAATAACTCACTTCCCCCAGCGTAGCTGAGCCCTGCTGCTCAGAGCTTTATAGCCAGTGATGGGATGTTGGTTCCAGCCCGTCTGCAACAGCAAAAACACACAGCACACATTGAGCTTGCATTTCACTTTGTGTGCCTGTGTGTGTGTGTTTTTGTTTTGCGTTTTACACGTACGTCAGCACGTGCTTCTGCTTGTGTATTTTGTCAGTGTTCTGTATGTTAATGTGTAATAAATAAATTCTGTAGGTGAGTCACCTCTGCCTGAAGGCCTCCCTCCTGGGTGTTCTTTGTGGAATTTACAACTTTGTTAGCGTGACACCACGCCTATTTCACATCTTTTTAAGTTGTTCTTCACATTTTTGTGTCACGTGCACTGGAAGTGTCTGGTGTGTTCTTGCATGTGTGAGGGTATCTGGCGTGTCCAGTGCATGGCATGGCTGTGAAATGCCTGGTCTCTTCTAGTAGCACATGTGTAACAGAGCAGCTGTATTCTTGGCCTGCTGAGAATTTGTTTAATGGGTGATGCATTTTTGTCCTTCGTAGGTTGGCTAAACATTTGTGATAAATTGCTTAAACACTGCACAGAAGCATGTAGCATATTGTCATGTGCACCCCGAATGACAGACGCACAGAGGGGGCCAGTTAAAAACTTCAAGGATTTTTTGATGGTCCACTGATGCGATGGCCCGTCCTGAATTGTCCAGTATGCCCATTGGCCAGTCTGACTATGAATGGTTTTGTTGTACCTGGTGCGTGCATGCAGTGTGCTGGCGGTCAGAGTGAATATCAATAGGTAATAGAAATTTGTCTAATGTTAGCTGTTAATGTTAGCTACTGGTAGTTAAATATACCTGTCTTTCTCTTCTTTCTTTTTCTCTCTCTGGGTTTCTAGTTTCAGAGCTATGAAATGGAGTGGCGGCCAGCCACTGTAAATTGTATACAGGGAAACGCTGTTAAAGCTTGTGAATGATGGGTTTGAAAGAGAGAAACCGATAAAGACAGAGGCAGGCAGAGAGGGGACAGGATCCTTTCATGCAGACCTCTGGGAAGAGCCGATGTCCTGTGTGAGTCAATAATATTGGCTACTGTTCCAAGAGGTCGTTGTGTTATGTAATCTACAACCTTGTGTGCACGAGCGAGTGTGTTTCACCTCAAGGACTGTTGAGCTGTTGATGACACATATGCTGCAGATTGCACAGATAGATCATGATATTTGAAGACCCACAGCTATTTGTCATAAGATCTAGTTCCATGAAACAGGACTCCACTGTTTTCTGGTCATCCTGTTGTTTGTCATTTTGCCATCTTTCCACGTGCACAAATGGTGACATGAGATCATACAATGACAAGATATTATTGATTTCTGAATGGTCCATATAAAACCTTATGGGTAATATGGATATTCGAATGAATTTACATTTTTTACTGGTCAGTTGATCTATTTAATGTGTTGTATGTCATATATGTAATTCTATTGTATTTGGCGCAATTGAGCTAACTACTCAGGTATAATAGTTGTCGTCAGGGTAACAACATGGATCTAAATGAATGGTGGGTAGAGGCTCACACCTGCATATGATTGTTTTTCCCTTTACCTTTCACCTCTTGTAAAACAGCAACAACAACATTGTCATTCTTATATTTTACAATATTTTGGTTATTGTGATTAATAGTAACGATTTCAAGTTCAAACCAGTGAAAAGAAAATCAGTCAATCAATAAAACCATGTGCATACATTTACATGCACAAATATCCTACTGAAATAACATTCAGACACCTCCCACATACAACTGAAATGTTTTGCAAAAACATTTCTGCACCACCTGTAAGTTTCTCATGAAGAGAACTATTTTCTTATCAAAAAATTGGGTTGCACCTTTGTGAGGTAATGCACAGGGAAATGATCCAGTTTTTTTTACCTTCAGTTTCACTTTTTCTGACAAAGTAAATAAATGTGAAATCAGCACTCTCATTTGCTTTGGTGGGAGATTCTACACAGAGGGATGAAGAGATTTATTTTTTAAACATTCAAAAACAGTAGCTGCCAATAGGGGCCAATCAAACTGCATTGAATGGTTGACTGTCATCCGAATTGGTTGCTCAGGGCAACTTTTACTACCAAGCTCTGAGTAAATTAGCAAATTTTATTACACCCAACCTGCCACACTGTTCTATGTGTGTAATAAAACTGATTAGCATTTTCCATTAGCATTAGCTGAGGTTCCTCTCCTGTTAGGCCTACAAACATGACAGGGAAGCAAGTCAGCATTTTCATCTCGGGAGCTGTTTTCCTATTGCTGTTAAAATTGATAGTGGAGTAAACCACCCGTCATGTAATCGTCAATACTGGAGCTGCTTCATTTGATGATCTAAATGCTGCTGATCTCAGTCTGTCAAAAATATCATGGGTCAGTCCTCACCAGAATCCAACCTGTCCTTGTACCATCAATCTGCCTGTCCCTCACCCCCATCTGCCTCAGCTCTGTGTCCATCATAGGCTATCTCCTCCTTCCTCCTCCACTCCAGCCAAGCTGCATTCCTCGCTTTTGTGTGTCCCGTCCCCTTGGAATTTAGGGGATGTCGATGGGGGTGGGATAGGACAGGAGGAGAGAGAGGAGCGGGGCACCCAGTGACAGAGCTGTGCAGAGACTGTAGTAGAGAAGAAGAAGGAGAGACAGCAAGAAATAGATGAGAAGAAAAGGATCCAAGAGGAGCTTAAGGAGAAGGGAGAAAGAAGGAGGAAATCAGATAAAGGGGGAGGTGTGTGTGTGTGTGTGTGTGTGTGTGTGTGTGTGTGTGTGTGTGTGTGTGTGTGTGTGTGTGTGTGTCTGTCTCTCATTAGATTATGCAGCTCCCCAGGGGAACAGCCATTATTGATGGATTGATTGCAGGCCCCTCCCCATCCACTCAGGTCTTCTGCTATTGGAGGCCATTGATCTGGTGTCTCTTTGGGATATGATGGCCAGTGCATATTTAATTAGCCTTCCATTACAACCAATCAGCATTCATACAAGGGGTTTAAAGAAAAGCTTAGGTTTTGTTCAAGAAAGGTTAAGTGACATTTACTCTTCTTATCCCAGGGGACGGGGCACTTTTGTTGTCAACCAGTGCTGCTTTTTACTTCATCTGTCATGCACATACTGTGTGTCGTGGCAACACAAAGGAGAACACTTTAATCTAGGAAAAGAAGCAAAAGCAAATTGTAATTTTCAGGTAAAGCTTTGAAGTAGAAATCTAAATAAGCAAGAGATTCTTGCCAACTTAGTTAGAGTAATAAATGGTTTGAAAAATGGGGAAAGGGAGTAAAATCCCTTTACGGCCCTCATCCTCAAATGTCCAGATTGGGTATTGATCTAGTTTTGGTGGCCTTTAGTCCCTCCTTGCTTTTTCTGGCCCCAAAGAGAGAAGCTCTCTGGGGTGCTGAAGCCTGTGTGATCCACCCTGAAAATACATGCATATGGATGACTTGCTTATCATCATGGTCTTTTCTCATGAATTAGGTGTGTGTGTGTGTGTGTGTGTGTGTGTGTGTGTGTGTGTGTGTGTGAGGAGGGGCAGAGAGCGACGCTTACCTTTGTGATTAATGTGTTCACCTTTCTAGTTTGATTTGTCAACCTTTGGTGACTCACAACAGTAAAATGCAGCAGTAAGTCATAGGAAGAGGTGGGATGATGATGGAAATGTATTTGTATCTGTTTTAGTAAACATTGTCCATTATCATATTACCACAGGTCAATACCAGAGCAGCAATTATTGTGGGTCTAAGTAGGGAAAGCAAAATTTACAGGTCATTATTTGCTGCCGTTTTTGGGGTCACTTTGATATACTTTTAGGTACAGTACTTAATTTTAAAGACTGCATTTCTTCAACTCTTAACTGTGCCTCTTAAGCTACTTATGCTATTAAAATTAAAGCCTTCAAATATTTACAAATGCTTAGTAAGTAATCTAAAAGGATTATAGTTTAGCCCAAGCACGTTGAACATGTTATACTCCACTGATGTGAAGTCAGGGTGTTGACTTGTAAAGATACATTTCTATCATGCATTTGACTAAAAACCTTACATGTGTTTAGCTGTAATTGTTTCTCCAGTTTGACCTATCAGAGTCTGAGAGGTAAAGAAATCACAGTGAATAGTCGGTTGTAGATGCATCACACGTTTTGTCAATTTGTGAGTAAAACTTTAAGTCATGAATAAATAGCATTTGTGATCTGCACTCCTGTTTTCTTTTGTTTGTCGTGTGGTCATTATCGCAGGTGCAGTTTCAGTTTGTACTATTTTAAACATAAAAACTAATTCGTCCATGTATGTCTTTTTGTGTTCCCAGGTGTTTCTGTTCTTCTGTGAAACCTGCTCGGTACCTATCTGCAGGGAGTGCAGCGTGGGCCGTCATATGGGCCACACCTTCGTTTACCTGCAAGACGCCGTGCAGGACTGCAGAGCCATCACCATCCAGCTGTTGGCAGATGCGCAGCAGGGACGACAGGCCGTGCAGGTGAGACAGGAGCCCGAGTAGACAAATTCACAGTGGGGAAAAAAAGGAAAATATCCCTCAGTCATTTATTCATTTAGTTTAGTTTATTTTGTTCTACCCCGTAAGTCTGGGGCTAAGACCATAAAACCCGCTTAGAATAATACCCAGTATTTGTGTTGTATATTAGCATATACCTGATTTGTATTAGGGTTGTACAATGTGAAAAATCTGAATAATCAATTAAACAGAACAAGGGAACAAGGCCAGATGTTCTTTATAATTGTCCTGTGTCACTCCATTGGACTCAAATAGGTCAAACTGATTTAGGTCTTTGCTAAACAAAGCCACGAGCTCTCCTGCACAATTCTCTGAGGCCTGCCATAAAGACAATCCTTATGAAGGTCAAACCACACAAATCAACACTCATCCATCTCCCGCAAAGAGCGAGGAGAAGCTGAGGAGAGCAGCTGCGTCTCTCCATCGTCCCTCAGCACAGAGCGACTGGCTATTAGAGATGATAAGCTTGAATGTGTTTGAGAGTGACCAGTCCTGGGCTGCTGGGAAGCCTGGGGTTAGAGGTGTCCAGCTGGCCCTGAAAGGGGGTGGGTCGCACGGGGTGAGGTCTGGCGGGGGCAGGGCTGAAGGTCAAAGGAGAGGAGGATGGGGGAGGGTAGATGAGGTATTTAAAGGATTTCAGAGAAAGGAAAATTCCCCTCCTCTTTTAAAGATGTGGAACACTTTGCCCTTCCCTCATTCACTCACTCACCCATTCACTCGCTCACAACCCCCTGTAATTATAGATGGGGTTCAATTTAATTCGAACAACTTGGGTTTCTTCCTGTCTTTTCTAACTGTCACTGTAGAATTTGAGAACATCATCTTCGGCTCAGGGACAATGTGATCAGCATATTTCACTATTTTATGATATTTTATAAACCAAACAATAAAACTATCAACAAATAACATTAAAATACTCTTTGCTGCAGCCTTGCTTTTAAAAGAGATAAATCCATGGAGAGATAGCGAAAGGTCACACATACATGAGTGTGTGTCTACTTTGCCTGGATGGTAAAGCAGTGTTATGACCTTGGTAAAGACTTGACTGAAACATGAAACACTAGGTGTTGCACTGACGTCATGTGACATGCAGGCATGAATGATCTCCTCAGCAGAGCTTGTGCCTCACCTATCCCTTTCATGGGTTGACCGTCGTGTGACTTTGTACTTTAATGGATGGGTGCGTAAATCACCCTGGGTGTTCTTCAGATTCCAAGATATCGCAACTCAGATCTGCTCAGTTTAAGTGTCAGACTCCAGGCAACATGTAGCAAAGTTTCAAACTGCATACACTTGATCTTCTTAACCAACGGGGATCACATGTACAACTGTGTTTTATTTAATGAAAAGCACCAGGATATATGCAGCTGAGTCATAAGAAGCACCGCCTACCATCTGGCAATACCTTGTGATGTTTGGTGTATGTTTGTCCATTTTTGTCCCAGGTCACCACCGTAATAAGTGCTGACGCCAGATAATATGTAAACACACACCACACACACCCTGTCCCCTGAGGTAGGAAATTTCCACCCACTCCACACCCATTATCTTCCCTGACCTCTGACCCTGGGCTTGTGACCTCCTGGTTGGCCAGAGCTCTTTCTCTCTGCGGCTGGTGATTGGTCAGTTTGACCCTCTTTGTGTTCCAAGCTGTGCTCTTGTGGGAATGTCGAGAGAAAGACGGAAACAGAGAAGATGGCGACACTGAGGCGGAGAGGGAGATCATGAGGCCAAGAAGCACAGGACAGAAAACAAAGTGTGAAAAGTATGAAAAAGTGAGTCTGAGCTGGAGGCAGGGAATAAGGAGCAAAACCAGAAGAGGAAGACAAAGATTGAGGGAGAAAAATAAATAAATAGAATCAGAAAATCAAATCAGAAAAAAAAAATGCATTTTTATGAGAATACATAGAAACAGCTGGAGAAAGGTGGTGGCTTTCACATTTCACACTGCCTCCTTCCCCCGATTCTGTAAGGACCCCCCCCCCCTGCTGTTCCCTCTCTGGGGGCCTGATTTAGTTGACCCTTTAGCTGCCAACCTCAAATGGCTAGGTGAAAGAGAAAAGGACCATGCTGCCAGGCTTTGTTTATGGCGTTCTGCAGTGGGGGGTGGGTGTGGTATGTGTCTTAAGACAGGGGTTGCAGATCACGACCTGTAGAGGTTTAGGTGACCTTTGATCCCTGCGGCCGATATCACAAAGGAAGCCTTATCCCACCTCCCCTTCGTCCCTGTGAGGTCCGGTTCACCCTTTGACCTCCCAGAAAACGCCAGAGGAAAAGCCAGATAAAACACAAGGGGGGAGGAAGGGGGGAGGGGGACAAAGAGAAAGATGTGAATCTAGCCCAAATTCTTGGTAGTAAAAACTAAAACCATTTCGTGAAGTTCAGGCCGCACAGTTGTTTTTCACTTCCTGTTTTTACTAAGGTGAAGAAGAAACTCAGGGTCATCATTTCATTGCACACCAAGCCTGATTATGTAATACCGTCCTGTATTCAGAGATCCCTGTTCAGTACATACATAGTCTTGACTGTGAAGACCAAAAGTAACTGAATATTTCTGAGAATATCTCAACTGACTAGTGGTGTCAACACAATATTATTTCAATACATTAGTTTGGGGAATATACACATTTTTATTCCATTTTCCCCAAAACAAAACATCCCAAACAGTGTTAAATAAAGAACTTTGAATAGTTGACTGATTTCTTAATCAAATAAAAAAATATCTGCTTATAAAAAAGCCCAGGAATCTTAACAAGCGTGCCACCTTTCAACTTTTCAGTCAAAACTTAGAACAAGTATTAAAGGGAGAGTTCGCGGGAGCACCCGGCAGAGTGGCAGAGCTAAGTGTTGCTGTGCATGGGGCCACCAGAAAAACACATTTTAGAGACTTTAAAAGAAATTTTATAATGCGCACTGTAAGCATGAGAGTGAGTGAGGGTTCAATTCAGTAGGAAGCTGCATCATTTTGTGCAGTGTGAAGTGACTTCCTATTCCTGACCCATGTTTCCTTTTCCCTTGTAAAGGCGCCGCCAAATGTGAGAAAGGAATAGATCACAAAAACTGAGCAGGTGTTGCCAGGAAGATGTCACACACGGTGTCCTTTCTTTTAATGTTTCCTGATCCTCTGCATCCTGTTTCTGGAGGTCATCTGTATCCCATCTGAGTAATAAAACAGGGCAGGCAGTGGTGTGTTTGAGCCAGATATTCCTGTCCCATCCCCTGTCCCACTTGCAGACTGAGAGATCATGTATCTTTGCTCATCGGCATATCTATTCTCGTATCTCTTTCTGTGTCACTGTTTTACTATTGACTCATTTTGTTCCATATCAGTAAGGGCAAGTCATTGTGTTTTGTTTCCCCAGCTAAGCATGGAGAAGGTCCAGGCCATGGCAGAGCAAGTGGAGATCAAGGCTAAGGTGGTGCAGACTGAAGTGAAGGCCCTTGTTCTGAGACACAAGAAAGCGCTGGAGGAGAGGGAGTGTGAACTACTGTGGAAGGTGAGCTAGCTACCCTCATGTTGATCAGAGTCCAGTTAATGTTTGTTTTATAAGCCGGTTTCAGTTTTGTTCTGGTCTGGCGACTAGCTTTCAGGTTTGTTTGGCACAATTGGCCAATAACTAACAGCCATAGCGTCTTCTCTACTTTTCACCCAGGTGTTAATGAGCTGTCATGTTGACAAAAGGACTGTTGTTGTGGCAGAGCAGGCGTGTTATCACTATTCTAATGACATTTCTTAAATGCATTACTGCCAGTGACAGCCACAATAAACAACCAAATAAATACCTCCACTTTATTTAAAAATGTTTTTAAATGTTCTTTGTGAAAAAAAAAAATGGGTACAAATAACCCTACTTCATCATCCATACCCACATCCAGCCACATCCTGACTTTTAGTTCAGCTTTTAGTTAGAAGCCTGAACTTAAGAAACCCTTTGCAAGGGCCTCGCAGGTTTAAGGTTACCCTGAGAAGAAGAGGGTTTTTTGGGTGAAAGAAAGATCTCTTGTGCCTGAGGCCCCTCACCCCCGGCTAATCCATGCTTCCAAATCCTTAAACCTTAGGTAATAAATGAATAATGATAAAATATCATAAAAAGGGCATATTACTACATGCATGCCATTGTATCAGTCAGGTTTCTTACGCACACATACAAAACCAAAATCCACATCATATGATCTGTGGCTGAAACCAGATAGTAACATGTGTATGTGCATCTGTACATTTATGTACATGAGCAAATTTGTTGCTTTGGTCCCGGTGGAACAAAACCAGTAATTTATCCGAACACCCACCAGGCGACCACGCTCTCATTCCCCCTTTCCCTCAGAACAGGTTCGGTGACATTATAAAAACTGATCTGTGTCTTACTCCCTCGGATCTTAGAGCTCCTTGATGTGTGTGTGTGTGTGTGTATGTGTGTGTGCGCGCGCGCACGTGTGTGCGCACAGGTCAAAATGTCACAAAGGTTTTCATTTACCCATGTTCCCTCTTTAATCCTTTTTACACCACTACAAGACTCACTCTTTATCCCTGGCCTGATAAAGCCATTACCAGCAACCACACACACACACACACACACACGGTCACACACGGACACACACTGAGTTTCCCTTGGTGCCTTCCATTTGAACTGGGAGTTCCCAGTCTGTTCATCAACAGCAGTGAAATCTGTAGTAATAATATACTGTTTATTAGCGCTTCTGTCTGTATTTGTGTCTCAGTAAATGAGTCGTACACTCAGCACTGTCCAACTTCTGTCAGTGGACATGTTGCTGTTGTTTTGTTTGTATGTGCAAAATACCACATAATGCATTGTTGTCAACTGCTATTGCAAACAATAACAACAACCAAAATGCAACAACAATAACAAGCTTCTGACTTGTTCAACTGGAACTTGGTGGACTCAGTGTGATATAATTTCCCGCTTGATCATCCGAGGTAAATGAAACACATCTACCTTCCTTCCTTTTTTTCCTGATTTCTTTGTGACTACATTTCATGGATTCAGATGCTTTGCTCTACTAGGCAAGTGTGTGACTATGTGGTGAGCTGTAAGAGAGTTTTTACAGTGCTCCAGTCTGTGATTTCTATCAGCACGTCTCCTACACTTGTTGAATGATGTTGAGGATTTCAGGAATACCAGTGGGTGCAGATGAAAGCTAAGTGCGAAATAGGAAGGTGCTGATTGACTTTGATTGATTGTCATTTCATGCTTATAGAGCTGGTAGGAGGCCCTTGCTGTTGGTTAACTACTCTTTTTGTTATTTGTTGTTTTAAAGCTTATATCAAGCAATAATACCAAAAATTAGTGACTCCATCCTCTGATGTGTATGTATTTGCAGCCTTTCTCTATATCACATTACAGTAAATTGAATATTCTTTGCTTCTGGACTGTTGCTCAGGCAGTATTTGTATTTTCCGACTTTCCGAAAATTAAAAAAATACGCTTAATAGGTAATGAAAATAATTCTTAATCACACTCTATTACTCTCGACTTGAGTGAATGATTGAATGGACATTATGCAGAAACCAGTGTAATCTGTATTGCATTGGTGGCATGCACCGCTCTGCTGCACTTTGCTTACTTGCTACATTCTGTACGCTGCTCTGCTCTCCTCCGCTCAGGTGCTGAACGCCTGCAAGTTGAGCTCTACAGCTCCTGAATCATACAAGATATTTTAAAAGGAATCTTCTGGTGTTTCCTGTACTACGAGCCAGTGTGATGGTCACCTGTGCCGACAGGAAAACAGAAACTGAACGCAGGAAGGTCAACAAACTAGACAGATTCATGGCTCTGACATGACGCAAGGCGCTAAATGTGACTCATGGGTAAAACCTTAGGCTCGAAATGTGTGTGAATCAGGGTGTGTCTTGTATTGTGAATGTGTGAGACAGGAATTGTGCTGGCATGTAAAGTTGTAACTTAGAAGTAGTTGTTACACTGCAGAACATCAAGATCTCTCTCTCTCTTTCTCTCTGTCTCTCTGTCTGTTTTTTTTTCTCTGAAATATAAACCATCTCTGCCAATGAGTGCTGCAACACAGGAACTAAAACTAGTTGTCTGTCCATCAGGAAGCCTAACTTGAGTCTTTGTCCTCAGTGACTATAAAGTGTAACTCTAGTCTCACAGATGCAAATTGCAGTTCCACTTATGTCAATGATTAACAAAAGACCCCTCTCTTTTGGACTCTTTGTTTTTTTTCAGGGTCTCTCCCTACTATCAAAAGTCCCTCTAACCATAGAGGCTGTCAGACTATTGTGTTGTACTCTTATTGTTGGGTGACGTTAAGTAAAAGCCCAATCCCCGCTTCTCAGGTTCTGCCACCCTCTTTAATGCTTTATTCTCACTGACTCTACTGTAACTTTATCCACCTTCTCATGATAACAGAAATGTGTCATGGCTAAGTGTTGGTTGCCCTTTTTTCTTTCTGGTTGCTTCAGTTTGTCAGACTCTGGCACAGATACCTTTTTGAATAGTGTACTTTGTGTATAACGTTGCACATTGTTTCCTTATTGTCTGCTCTTGCATTGTTTTCCTGGTAGGTGTTATAAAATCGACATAAATGATGTCCTCTGCTTTTATTAAGTTCTGCATCAGTGAAGAATGTAAATATGTAACGTGTCCTTATCTGTAGTAGAAAGGTCTTGATGATGTCTTCTGTTACCTCTTCTTCTGTCTCAGTACTCTTCGCCTCACCTACTTTCAACTGGATTCATTGGTTAATACTGACAAACTATTACCCAATTAACAGGGGTAAGCAGGAAACTAGCTGCATGTCCAGCACTTTTCTTCTTCTTTCTGAATATCAGGTAGACTTGGTATGGTGAGCACACTGCTGCCATCCAGTGGGCAGACTTGCTGTGACCAGTCTGTGGCAACATGTTTCAGGAGACTCCACATTCAGTTTTAAGTAAATAAAGTGGAATAAGTAGTTTCAAATCAGGGTAGACACACCCCACGAAATGGTTTACAGACGTCTGGGCAACCATGCCAGACACATCAACCAGAGAATGATTTTTGAACCTTATTTTGTTGCGTTATTTAATTTGTTTGCCCTACATATAATGGTTGTCACCAGAAACCAAGTATACGTAATAAAATACAAAAACTCATTGCAACTGTGTCTGTGTTTTGGTGCCAAAACATCATGATTTACAATCACAGATCAATAAAGTACCATCATCATGTGCTTATTCTGCTGCTTGTTAAACAAAATCCCCTTCTGTAATAGCAAATAACATCTGAACTCTCTGTCTCCTTCCAGGTGGAGAAGATCCGCCAGGTGAAGGCCAAGTCTCTGTACCTGCAAGTGGAAAAGCTGCACCAGAGTCTGACCAAGTTGGACAGCACCATTGCTGCCGTCAGCCAGGTGCTGGATGAGGGCCGCCACCTGGACGTGCTGCTGGCCAGGGAGCGAATGCTCACCCAGATCCATGAACTGAAGGCCCTCAGAGGCCTGCTTCAGCCGCAAGAGGACGACCGCTTCATGTTTACTCCTCCAGACCAGGTAAGTGCTGAATCCGTAGAGGTCGTGGAGTTTAGATTCAGATGGTTTTTCACCAGATATTATTATGTTTACTCATCCTGGTGTAATGTTACTATTTGTAAGACTAGTGCTATAACTTACTCCATCATGGTTCCCACAGGCTCTGTACATAGCCATCCAGTCCATGGGTCTGATCAGTAGTGGAGCCTTTGCCCCAGTCACCAAAGCCCACGGTGAGGGTCTGAAAAGTGCACTTCGTGGCAAGCCCTCCTCCTTTACTGTGATTGGATATGACCACGATGGTGAGCCACGTCTTTCCGGCGGGGACGCGGTGTCTGCAATTGTCATGTCAGTTGGCGATGGTAACCTGTCTGCAGCAGAGGTGACAGACCACCAGAATGGCTCGTACACCGTCAGCTACGTGCCCAAATGCGAGGGGGAACACCTTGCGTCGGTGCTGGTGTGTAACCAGCACATCCAGGGCAGCCCCTTCAAAGTGATCGTGAAGTCAGGGCGGAGCTACGGGTCGTTGGGATCTCAAGTTTCATCCTTCGGGTGCGAGGGGGAGGGAGATGGTCAGCTCTGTCGTCCCTGGGGCATCAGTGTGGACAAGGAGGGATACGTGGTGGTGGCTGATCGCAGCAACAACCGCATACAGGTGCAGCTTAATCTTTTGTTTCTCTATAATCAAGTATGGATAGTGAATTGGTTCCTATAAACCCAACTTCTCTATACCTGCTGGCATCAAATCTATTTTTACAGCACTTAAAGAAATGATGAAAATTAAGCCATTAAATAAGGCTAAAGCAAATACAAAGAAATCAATTTTATTTTCAGTATTTAAGGCTCTAAAACCAACTCTGTCTTTTTCTTTCTATTCTTCCTCCGTTTCAGTCTGTCTCTACTCAGGCCTGACAAATAAATGCCACAGAGATCTGCACTTAAATCGCATTTAGAGTGGTTCTATTAAGTTTATCATTCACTCATTAATCATTAGTTAATGCTAGCTTCACATTGTTGATTTTTGTGCTGAAGTGTTTATGTAGCAGAGAGTCTGCTTAGCAAACTTTGTACTGGAATGTGCACGAATCTAATTTCCTCTTACTTCGACACAACCACACACACACACACGCCACAGTCACTGAACTGATGAAAATAGACAAAACAAAATTAGCACTGTACAGCATTTAATGGAACAGAGTGCCTGAATTTTAAGTTTACAATGTGAGTAGTATTTAACAGATTTAATACTGCTTGGTGAAAGTATTAGCTGTAGGTCTGTTACAGTGTAAAAACTACACAAAAGCACAACTGTGTTGACACTAACATTTAACCAGCAGGTTAATGTGAGATTAAAAGAAAATCAGCAAGTTTTTGCTCCTTTCCTCTCCAGATATTCAAGCCTTGTGGTGCCTTCCACCATAAGTTTGGCTCTCTGGGTTCTCGGCCTGGTCAGTTTGATCGTCCAGCTGGGGTTGCATGTGACAGTCAGAGACGAATCATTGTGGCTGATAAGGACAATCACCGTGTGCAGGTATGAAATCCAACGTAGACACGATCAACACACTCCTACGTACTAAATTTGCACAATAGCTGGAATTCCATAGTTTTCATCTGCATGTCTGAATGAACCAAAGCCACAAGAAAGTTGCATGGGAAAAAATGTAAAATTGTGTAAGTTTTAAAATCATGTTGGCTTCTGAAAATTTGTAAACCCATATATACATATGTAAACACGTAGCTCCTCGTGCTTACTCTCGCTCTGCTCCACATGTAAACACGTTGGGCTTTAAGGCATTTGCTTTGTCTGACAGGTGTTTACTTTTGAGGGCCAGTTCCTGCTGAAGTTTGGGGAAAAGGGTACCAAGAATGGGCAGTTCAACTATCCCTGGGATGTGGCTGTCAACTCTGAGGGTAAGATCCTGGTCTCAGACACCAGGAACCACCGTGTGCAGCTCTTCGCCCCTGACGGCTCTTTCCTCAACAAGTACGGCTTTGAAGGGGCCCTGTGGAAACACTTTGACTCTCCCAGAGGAGTGGCCTTCAACCACGAAGACCACCTGGTGGTGACCGACTTCAACAACCACCGGCTCCTGGTCATCCGACCGGACTGCCAGTCAGCGCGCTTTCTGGGCTCTGAAGGCACCGGGAACGGGCAGTTTCTGCGGCCCCAGGGCGTCGCCGTGGACCAGGAGAACCGCATCATCGTGGCTGACTCCCGCAACCACCGAGTTCAAGTGTTTGAGCCCAATGGAAACTTCTTATGCAAATTTGGCACACAGGGGAGTGGCTTTGGACAGATGGATCGCCCCTCCGGTGTGGCTGTGACGCCTGACGGAGTCATTGTGGTCGTTGACTTTGGAAATAATCGCATCCTCAAATTCTAAAAAAAAAAAAAAAAAAAAAAAAAAAAAAAAAAAAAAAAAAGAAAAAAAAAAAAGTTTATTTTAGCATTCTCTCCCTCCGTTTGACCTTTTTGCAGTTTTTTTTCGATGAAGGAAACGGAGGAGAGAGAATGAATCAACCAACACAACAGGAGGAGAGCTCGGAGAGGATTGAGAGCACGCTGAAATGAAGGGAAATTAAAACTATAGATGATTATTTTTTTTGTTTACATTGATATTCTCCAAATCCAATATCTGTGGTATGTATGACAAAGGGGACCTCTACAAATTGATAATCAGTAGAAAAATAGCCATATTTCCCTTCCACAGTCTCAATTGCTCTGAATTCTCTCTGTACGCTCTCCTTGAGTATCCATCTCAGGGAATTTCTCACTTTTCTTGAAATCTTATACCCTCTGCTCCACACCTACCTCATTTAGCTCTTTATGAATGTACTCATAGTCACTGAGCAGAGGTTTTAGTCCGTGAAGTTTTACAAAGAAGAAAGTCTAACTCTATAGTTTGTTATTTAAGAGAGACAAAAAAGAATAGACTCTTCAGTTGATATTTGCACAGGATTAAAGGAATTCTTGCTGTGCATTTTGAAATATGAGTTAAAGTGAACCTCCTGAATGTTGTTGCTGAGACAATACTCAGACCACTGTAGAGGCTGCATGATTTATTCTCGTTAGAAGGCTTTGCTGGGAGAGGAAACTAGGGTACAGTAGTGTCCTTTTCATGTTTTAGACTAGTTAGTTTTTGGCTTGTGCATCGATCCTTGTCTCTTTGTGGCTCTGAGGAGTTTGTAGTGTCATGAAAGCCGAAGAAGAAGCGATGCCAAACTTTATGGAATCAAAATTAGCTCAGGTCACGGTAGGACTGATTTAAAATGATCAGTACTTTTCAGGCTCTCCCTCTAGCTTTACTGGCTAATGCTGATTTGATAAATGTATTTATGAGCAAAAATATAAAGGTTAGGGAATCAATCAAAATGATCCCTGAAATTATCCCCAAAATAAGCCCCGTGATAAAATTACCCAAAGTGTTTGATCATCCATACACCCCCGCTCCAACCATGTCTCATAAGACTGGATGTGAACTAGTGTTTGTTGATAAAATAAGACAACCTGTGTTGTTGCTGTCCAGTCAGTTGCATAAACAACTAAGATGCAAAGATTTGTATGCAAGGAGAGCAACGTCTCCTCGAGAGGGGAGGACCCACCAAAGGATATTGGAAAAAAGATCTGGATCTATTAGTGATCTTAACGTAGAGATTTAATCATATAAATGAATGACACCTTTTTGATGAGGCATGCTGTGTGACAAAAGCCTCACATGTAGACACCTAATTTGGCTGTCCAGAGGACATTAATGACACCATATTACAGACCTTTACAACATTACAATCCTCTGGATTTAGATTGTGGTTGAAAGCCACTCCCCTTGGCTCCTGGGGCCTATAGTCCAGTCCAATGAGAGGGCGCCATTGTAAAGCCCTGCCCTATTTATTGATGCTTGGAGCTGTGGACACATCTCCAGATTGAGCGCTAGTAGACCGACTCTAAAGATTGAGGTCAATAGACCACCTACTGGAGTCAACCAAAGTAAGAATTTCTGCACAATGGCCAACTGAAGATTTGGCAATTAAAGAAACTAAAAACCCCTTTAAAAACATTTTCTTAAATAATCATTGTTGCTGGGAAGTCTAAAGTTCACAAAACTCAGAGTTGAGTTCATAGCACTGTCCATGTTAGACTAAGAAGAATAAAGTGTGCTTAGGTCACAGTTTACTGTGCATGAGTACTTTCGCATCCTGCTCAGACCGAGGCCGTCGCTGTTTAAGGCAGGTTTTGAAAGAAGACCCTTTATCGTCTGTTTGCAGAGATGTTCGAGTAGAGAACAGAGGATACCCGCACCAAAGAGAACCCCTTTCTCCCCATCGCGTTTTTTCGCATCAGCCCATCAAATGATGCCCCAGTTTTATCAATATTAGATGGCCTGTAGGCTCAAAGTAGCATCTCAGATTAGCCTTTGTATCCCGATCTAATCTAACTAATAGATACTTACTCTTTGTGGTGAAAGCATTGTTGGGTTTTGAATCCCCTTGCCCTTTCTTCAATCTGTGTCCCACTGGAAGCACTAAGACAATTAAGGCTGTGTTAGCCACTTCCTTAGCCTAGCAAAGAATCTTGGGACCCACGAAAAGAGTCACCGACTGGCTCTCACCTCTGAGGAGAGGGTCCGTTTGCACATGATCAGGATTCACATCCTCATATCTCAGATATCCTGTACCTCAATGTTCATTTTACCTCTTTTCTCGTATACCTCAACTCCTGAATACCTCAAGTATGTCACTCATAGCTACTGTGCATTTAAAACATTCAAATACCTCAACTTGTTACTCTCATTCTGAATACCTCATTTTTACTCTTTTATTTAAGCATACCTTGTCAGATATTTATGCATTACAAATATACCTCATTCTTTGAATCTTCTTGTGTTACAGTGCAGTACATGTCCCATAGCTCTAGGACCAAAGATCATGGTACTGTTTCGAGTTGAATTAAAAATTTGTATTATGGTCATCGCTCCATCTCGCAGCCCTGAACAGCTTTTGATTTGTTGAATCTACTGTATATTGCCTGGTAAACTATGCCTTTTATCACCAAGAAACCAAATATTTCAGATGAAAGCATTGTGCCAAAATGATCTGTGAGCGTTCTGTGCCAAACAGGGTTGGCATTTGGACTAGCTGTATTAGACGATAAATGTCACTGGACCATTATATCGTAGATACAAAAGTTAAACCAGAGCGGCTGGGGATAAATCCCCGCTCTCTGACTGGATGCGCTTAAGAGGGCTGTGCCCCATTTATCTTTACCTCATGATGATGATTATGATGATGATGATGATGATGAACATGCAGATTCCATTCGTACTTTGTTACTGTGCGCAGAGGGTGAGGGGAAGAGGAAATAGCCTCTTTTAAAGAGTTAAGAACTTTGAACGCACAAGAACGACCTCTAATTTCAGCACAATTTACCAATATTTCAGTGTGGATTTTAGGATGCTTGATGTTGCTTGTGGTCGACCTGGAGACACGTCTTACCTGAACCACTCTTGACTGTGGTTTCAACAAACATCAGAGGATTACACCTTATGGTGGCATCAGGCTGGTTTATTAATTAAGTGGAGCTATTAGCACATTGATGGTGAGCCAGTTTCAGTCCACAGACCCTGCTGCTTTGAACCCAACACCAAGTTTCACCAATAAGATTGTTTTTTTTGTTTTCTTTTTTGCTTTTCAGTATTACTCTGTGAAATGTTCATTCATGTTGCATCCGTTTTTTTAATTAAGATTGCAGAATTCTATCTTTAAGATCCTTAGGTCTTCACTCTTAAAGAGGAAAAATGTATTTTAAACCTTTATTTTGCTTTTCATTTTGTTGCATGCTTTAAAAAGTCCTTGTACTATACTGACGTCTCTCAGATAGGTGTTGAAAAACTCAGATGGGGTGGGTAGCTGACTATTGGGATAATTTTACCAAAATATTTACCCAAAGACGTGTATGTGTGTGTTAATATTGCGTCGGATGGAATTAACCTTTGACCTTGGCGATTGTATTTCCTGTTCTCTAGAGGCCCTTCAGAGCACAACCTGTTCAGCCGGCCATGCCTCGATTCCTGAGAAATAGTAGAGGCAGAGTTTTGAGATCCATGCAGAATGCTGGTCCGCCCCTCGACCGTTAGTGCTTAATTTTCTTTAACTCCCTCTTATATGCATAACAAGGGTAGATATATTAACATGTTGTCCTTTCACACTTCGAGCCCTGTAACTTATGGAAGCTGTAAAAAGCTACCTGCTGAGCATAGATTTACCTTTCCAACAATGATGAATCCACAAGGCGGCCATTTTGTGTTTTGGCGTTGTAATGGGAACTCTCACTGTCATGTGAGAAGCAGCTAGGTTTCTCCAGCAACCAACTAGCAATCCGCTCCCCTCTTTATAAGAACCCAGGAAGTGTGGTGATGGCTGCTGAGCATGTGATCGGTTGACTGCACTCCTGCTCCGTAGGTTTTTTTTTTGGGGGGGGGGGGGTTTATTGGGCCCCTGTGGTTTTTCTCCACCATTTTATTTCTGGCCTCTCACAGCTTTAAGAGAGAGAAAAAGCAAAGCTGCAACAGGTGACATGTGCAAGGTCATAGACCTCCTTTTAATGATTGTATACTCGAAAGGAAGAAAGAAAGAAAAAAAGGTTTGAAAATTTAGAAAGGAAAAAAATAAAACTCAGGTAGTTCTCAGCAGCCCTGCCCTGCAGGTGTCTCATTGAAACATGTCCCGTAGTGATGATGTAATGACTTTTTTTCCCCTTGTTATGACCTCTCAGTACTAGTCTGATTCTTTTGTGTCCATTTACATATTATAAAAACGAATTATTTCTCAATCTGAAAAAAAATTCTTTTGATTAGTTTCCCCTGATTAATCTTTTTTTATTTTTTTTTGCCAATTTTAGTTTTTTCTTTTACGATAAAAGTACAAATACTTCACACCACTTGATGCTCATTGTCCCTTTTAGAATGTATTTTGTAAAGAAAAGGGTAAAATGGGATCTTGTTGATGCTCGCTCACTACAACCGGCTGCTGGAAGCTTTGCAAGACACAACAGAAAACACCTCATTTCAAAGAGTCCTTGCTAGATGTTCCACACCAGCAATATTTAAGGTGGAATCATGTGGTTATGGTGGAGCATAAACCAGCTTTAACATCAGCTGAGATGGGAGATGTTTGGCCTGGGGACGTTTAACAGCCAGTTCATCTTGTCCACACTCTTTTTTTTCCTGTTGTGTCCTGTTCTCCCAGCAGTAGGATGTGTGTGGAGTGGGCGCGTTGTGTTTGTGCACTGCATCTGTGTTGTTTGAGCAGAAATCCACTGAATGTATCCTCCTCGCAGTCCAAGAGGCAGGGCGAGCCAGCGTGGCCAGCTGAGTTTAGATGGGTGCTG